GGAATGTTGTTGCTATAACTGACAAATTCTTATTGATCGGATTGCCTTACTTACCTGGGTCACTTTGAATAATTTGGATTTAAAATAATAAAAGTCAACACATGGGGTGGTTTTTTTTCTTATACAAAGGAGAAACCTATTTTAATTAGGCTTTGTTTCCAAGGGCTCCCCTCACCTGTGAATATTTCACCACCATCTGATTTGGTACTATACTTCTATACTTTTTATTGAGGTGCTTTTTGACACTGAACTTAAAGTACAGTGCCTTCTTGGATAGTAAGTATATGAAGGAGAGAGCAAAGTTGACATGACACCATTTACACCAATCTTTAAGCAGTTCAAGTTGAGACCCTACCAGGTTTCTTTGTCTTGAAACTTAAAGTGCAAGGTGTGTGCCACTTGTTACTTAGCAGGTAAATGATTCTGGTTTCATTGACTGGGCAAAGAAGCTGTTGTTACACTGGCTTTCACCCGATTCTGATAAAATTTTTAGAAATCCCATTGTTAAAAATATTTCTACAGCCTTTATTAGAAACTTCTGAAATCCCAAGCAGATGCCCACTCCCCATGGCACAGCTGGGCATTATGTTGTGAATGCCAACAGCCTTACCTGAGCTTTACCCTCTCCTACAAATGTAGATCGCGCATTGGACTTGAACAGCATTATTCTTTCTCTTGCTAGTGAAACTTCATTCTTAGTCTACAGATCAGTATGTGTCATGTGCCAGAGCCAGCTGAGTCTTTAGGAAATTTACATTTTTTCAGGAAGTCATGCCAAATTCTAAATGACTGGGAAGATCATTTCCCATTTTTTTAACCACATGTAGTATGGACCCCATTCCAACTAAATCAGCAGAAATAAAACAGACCTTGCCAAAAATTACATTCCTTTCTCAAAGGCTGTATTTCTCAAAGGTTGTATTACTTGTGCTGTCGCATCACTTACTAGAACTATTTCTGAAAACAAATTGAAAAGGTATTAAAAAAAATAAGGAATTATGCAACTGTGGCTTAGGAGCATTGGGAAGAATTAATTTGAGAAGTAATTGTAATGAAACATGAAGTGAATTTCAGACTCCTTACTTCTTGGTAATGTTTAACATCATCCAATGCCAGTGTTGTTCTCCATCACTTAACTGTATAATATGGAGTAGAGATTCTCATTTATGCCTGGTCAGTCCATTAAAGTGTGCCATTAGTTATTTACAGATACTTGTTACTGTACAGGTAGATAGCTAATTTCAATACACTGCTCAAGTCATTCACAATACAAGACTTGTTCAGCAATGACGACTGCAAGCCCAGGGCTAGACTTGAGCATGGGTGAACACCAGCAGTCACAGCATTTGAGCACTCCTTCAGTGCCTGCTGTGCAGCACAGAAACCACCTGGGCCCAGCCAAGCTATGGAGCAAACCAGGCGCAGCTCCCAGCTTGCGCACATCTGTGCCAAGTGTGCACTGAAGCCACGAGCTGGATGGATATGGAGATGATCCCCGAGCCACTGTGCAAAAAACAAGGTCAACTTCTGCCGATATTAAAAAGATATTGTTATAATCAAGCCTCTTCTTTCATTTACCTGCTTCTGCAGCCCACTTCCACGGTATTCTAGTTTAAAACAGGTAATTTACTTGTAAATATTTCATACCATCATTGAATGGTTTAGGTTGTAAGGGACCTTAAAGATAATCTAGTTCTAATCCCCCTGCCATGGGCAGGGAAAACTTCCACTAGACCAGGTTGCTCAAAGCCCCATACAGCCTGGTCTTGAACAATTCCAGGGACGGGGCCTCCACAGGTTCTCTGGGCAACCTGTTCCAGTGCCTTATCACACTCATAGTGAAGAATTTCTTCTTAATATCTAATCTAAATCTACCCTCTTCCAGTTTAAAACCATTACTCCTCATCCTATCACTACACTCCCTGATAAAGAGTCCCTCCCCATCTTTCCTGTAGGCCCCCTTTAAGTAATGGAAGGCTGCTATAAGGTCTCCCCAGAGCCTTCTCTTCTCCAGGCTGAACAACCCCAACCCTCTCAGCCTGTCCTCATAGGAGAGGTGCTCCAACCCTCGGATCATCTTCGTGGCCCTCCTCTGGACCGGCTCAAACAGGTCCATGTCCTTCTTGTGTTGAGGACTCCAGAGCTGGACACAGTACGCCAGGTGAGGTCTCATAAGAGTGCAGTAGAGGGGCAGAATCATCTCCCTTGACCTGCTGGCCAGGCTTCTTCTGATGCAGCCCAGAATACAGTTGGTCTTCTGGGCTGCAAGTGCACATTGCCAGTTCATGTTGAGCTTCTCATCCACCAACTCTCAAGCTTGTCCAGGTCCCTCTGGATGGCATACCTCCCCTCCAGCATGTTGACTTCTCCACACACCTTGGTGTCATTGGCAAACTTGCTGAGGGTGCATCAATCCCCCTGTCCATGTCACCAATAAAGATGTTAAACGGCACCAGTCCCAGTACTGACCTCTGAGGAACACCACTTGTCGTGGCTCACCACTTGGACATAGAGCCGTTGACCACAACTCTTTGAGTGCAACCATCCAGCCAGTTCCTTATCCAATGAGCGGTCCATCAGTCAAATTCCTGTCTCTCCAATTCAGTGACAAGAATGCAGAATGGTGTCAAATGCTTTGCACAAGTCCAGGTAGATGATGTCTGTTGCTCTCTCCTTATCCACAGAGGCTGTAACGCCGTCATAGAAGGCCACCAAATTTGTCAGGCATGATTTGCCCTTAGTGAAGCCATGTTGGCTGTCACCAATCACCTCCTTATTTTCCACGTACCTCAGCAGAGTTTCCAGGAGAATCTGCTCCATGATCTTGCCGGGCAGAGAAGTGAGAGGTCCCTGTAGGTCCCCACGTCTTCTTTTTTTACCCTTATTAAAAACGGGGGTTATGTTTCCCATTTTCCAGTCAGTGGAAACTTCACTGGACTGCCACGATTTCTCAAATGTGATGGGTAGTGACTTGGCAAATTTATCTGCCAGTTCCCTCAGGACCCGCAGATGCATCTCATCATATTTAATTTAAAAAAACAAATGGTTCCAGTCCATCATAACTTTATGTTAACTGCCTGCACTAAGCAAGATTTTAAATCAAAATTACTAGCACAAAGCAGTGTTTGAGGACAGCTAGCGTGTCCTGTCAACACCTGTGTTTTTCTTCTTTTTTTTTTTTCTATAACACACATACCATCTGAAGAGCGTGCACTTGGCTTGTCCACACAGCTGCAAGGTGATTCAAACCATCCCTCTGATGTTCGTCCTGAGCCCCCTACTGGAGTGTGTGCTACACCGGTTGGGGCACTAGCTCAGCTGTGCTTTGGCTTAGAAGTAAACAATGACCAACCTTCATATAAATGACTAGCTGACCTCTGCTGTGATCTACAGAATGCTTAGACAAATTTAATAGTGGGGCTTTTAAGTACAAGGGAAGTATTTTCAGTGGCATGTTTTGCTTTTGTTTGCATTTGTCACCAAGAAGAACCAGCTTCTGGTATACCAGTTGCTGGTATACAGTCAACTTGCTCTGCAACAGCATAATCAACTAACTTGCAAGAATATCCATGTTCATCACATAGCACAAATAGAAGACAGGCTGGGAAAAAATACAGAAAAAAAGTATCAGAATTTCTTTTTCTTAGAGTTATGTTTTTCTAGCAAGTGATAAGATGGTATACATTGCAGATTCAGGTGTACGGTGCACTCATTAAATTTGACAGATGTTTACAGTTGTTCCTGAATTTCACCTCAGCAGTAGCTTTCAAAGATGTTTTGGAGAAAAAAAAAAAGAAAAAAATGAAAGAAATCGGCTTAAAGCTAATTTAATTAATTTCTTGAGGGGGCCGTGGAGTGTAACTACTTCTTAATGTACATGCACTGCATAAGATTTAGAAGAACTTGCTGTGGATTCTTTAAAACCTGTGTGCCAATTAGTTCAGTTTAACTTTGGGTTTGTGGTTTTGAAGAATTCTTCAAATATCTGTGGTTTGATTGACTTTGTAAATTTATATTTTGCAAAGTGCCATAGACCTTTTTTAAAAATTGTAGCAATTTTATCTATATTTATATATATGAAAACTTGTGTGTGAGATGTGCAATAACAGGAATGGGGTTTGGTTTGGGTTTTTTTTTTGTTTGTTATGGGGAGGTTGTTTATTTTGTATGGTTTTGGTTTTAAACAAGATATTTAAAAAGTGACTTCCCAGGGAAGAAGTGGCTGGATGGTGTGGACAAACTAAGCATAGAGTAATGTAACAAAAATCACTGATTTTGAAGATGAATGATACAACAGTAGCAATAGTAGCTTAAAGATTTAAATGAAAACCTCTTCTAGACTGATTTGAAATACTCAAATCTATATAATACAATTAAAATGTGAAGCTGTATCCATCTCTGACAATATACAATCTAAAAGCTGAAAAGGCTCAGCAAGTTTTCTCGATGTGCTTTATTTATAATGTGGCACTGCAAAAAACATTGCTACTGAGCTATTTCTGGATTGTCTGTATCACCTTTGTATCTATTTTACTCAATAAAGTTCTCTGGATTCTGAGATTTTTCTTTCAGCCAAATCATTTCCATTTTGCATTGTTATCCCACATCAGAGTATCTCACGTCCTAGTGGTAAACGGAGAAAAGTTCAAGTCTTCCTTGAAAGCAGCAGGCACTGGTACCTACCGCAAGGAATGGACAGAGCCCAACAAAAGCAGAGTATGGCAGCAACGTATACACCACAGCCACCTTGTATAGAAAGAGAGGCTGTGGCAATCCAGCTAGAGTAGATTTTGAGCCATGGCTTATTTGTGGTACTGTTATTCTGTTCTTAAGTCACCACTATGTACATTTCTTAGCATGAATGATGTAACTAATGTGTTATTTTTAATCTAAATTTCAATTAAAATGTGAGCATTTTAAATCACAGTTCTCTTCCCTGTGCTGTCTTCTGTGTGTGTGTGCTTGCTTTCCCAACTTAGTGCTTACAACTAGCCTGTGCAAATCAGGGGAATTATCTTCCCACAACAACACTTAAATTCTGCAATAATTGTAATTATAAAACATGACTGTATCATGCTGCATAACTGTGCTTACCATTTACAAGAAAGTTCAAAAATTATTTCGTCTGCTGCCACTGCCACCCTAGATCTGTAAATTACAAAGAAACAGATCAAGTTGAAGAATTTCACTACTAAATGATGCATGCATGTGCAGGTGTCTTCAAAAACTTGCATCTGTTATCTCCCAAAATAATCCTAACTGTACCTCAGAGCACTGTTCTCTGTATTGTGTATTTGCAAATGTAACCACGTCACAGTGATGAACTCATTTTGCCCTTCAAAGAAAACCTGGTAATAAATTCAGTACTAGAGATCAGGTGTTACAGTTCATATGATATGAAAAAAATCAACAGACTGATAGTGCCTAAAAAAAAAAATGCAAGACACAGCAGTGACACAGAATTGTCAATTCATAGACAGAAATTAGGAAAATAAACAGTACCAAGGCAATGCTGTTTTCAACAACTTCATTTTACTTTCAGTGTTTTAGGATTCACTTAATACCTGTAGAATTTCATTCCGTAATGACAGAATATGTTTAGATTTTAACCCTCTTAAGTTTATAGTACAAGAAAGTGGGCTGCAAGTGTTTAATAATTTTCTTCTTAACAGTTGAGTAGACCAATTCTCTTTACCCTAATGTATTATTTTGATAGTTGACATTTTGCTTCCCCATTTCAGCAGAATTACAGCATTTATACACAGAACTACAAAAACCAAAAATCCCTATATTGTTCAAAACTATACAAAGCAAACATCCAGGAAAAAAGTCTTTTTTTATTCTATGACACTGTGTTAATACAATAAATATACAAAACTTCTGAACTACTCAGACATGCAACAGAGGGACAAAAGAAGTGCATTTGTAGAGAACCATGACATTCATCAGGATAGCACAGCATTGTTAGTAATTTACAAAATATACAAACATTCCCCAGATAAATAAAACCAACTCGTACATTACAGATCAATGACTATAGACATTCCAGTGTTTAAACTTCATACTTTGTACTCAATTTGCCACAATACTAAAAAATGACAACTTAAGTGGGTGCCATACTCTAATTAATAAGAGACTCTAAAATCTAGTTTTAGTTAGGTACAAAATATTTTAACAAATATAAACCTTCTGTTTTCAAAGCTAAACTCAAAGTTCTCTTAAAAAAATGCAAAGCGTCAGAGATTTCTGGTTTAAACAATTCACATGTAACTGAACCTTGAATTTCACTTAGGAGGTTTAAATTTGTACATCCAATCCATGACATTACAAATCAATGATCCCTATACATAGAACATTAAATATGTTTTCTCAAAAAGCAGTTAAACATTTTTGGGGAAAAAATCTACCTGCCAAATTCAGGTTTTATTCCTAATGTTTTTTCCATAATATATTCTGGTAATGTATGTTATTATGCAATCTTAAAACTTAAATTAAATTGCAAGGATGATGTCCTTAGGATTCATATCCAAGAGATATCCAAGAGAATTGCTTAAATTTCGTTTTAAAAGTAATCCATAGTAGAGTTCCTAGATACAACCCTCAAGTTAAATTAAAAAGATTATGAAATGAACAATTGTGATATACAGCTGCTAGAAGTGTGATGCCTGATCTCAACAGAAAATTGTGGCTTTTGTCTGGAAAGCTTTTAATAACATTCCACACAAATTTAAGCTCAATGCTAGCATGTCCACTAGTATAGAACTTTAGAGCCCTTATTACACAGAATATTTAAATTACTTTTAACTTCAGAATATTTAGAAGCAGGTATATTCATTAATGTGAACTTCAGCATAGGTGAAACTACTACATTTATCCAAATTCAAGTTGGATTTAAAGTAATTGATAAAAGAAAGGAGACTAATAGGGACTTCATGCTAACAGTACAATACTGATCCAGGGATTAAGCTAAGGGTTTTATTTTCATAATAACATAAGAGCATTACAAAATACAATGTAGTGAAAAAGAATTAACCTATGAAAGTCTGTCCACATTCAGAATGTGGAGGGGTCTCAGAATGTTATGCTCAGTCTTACTAAAGGTAATTCACCTTAAGAGCTGAATTCATTTCAGCCACAGTGTGTACTTATACAGGTTGTGGGATGTGGTCCCTTCCTGTTTCAATTTTTTAAAACAGAGTTTAAAAAAAAAAAGCCCAAGTATTGTGCATAAGACTCATGAGACAATCCAAGAATATCAAATAGCCTTCCAAGGAGAGAAACATCACTTTGTAGTAAGATCTGATTAAATTCTAGAATATTTTGATGGCATGTACCATTATGGATTGTTCAGTTCCACAGCACCGATTTAACCTTTTAGGCCTCCAGTTAAATGAGTTAAAATTTAACTTTGTGAAAGATGAAGATTTCTCATTTTCCCAACTCAAAATAGTTTAAAAGTTTTTTTCCCCAGCTTAAATCAAATCACAGAGATGGCTGAGTTACGTTAAAATGAAATCATGTACCTGTTAAATGCCATTGCTTAAAAAGCTTGTTTTTAGATAATATTCCTGGTAGAAAATTAAATACTATATATATATAATTTTGGACAAGCAGTAAACAGAGACTGACAAGGCTACAGATTTAGTACCACTGTTAAACACAAATCTACACTAAAAAATAAATCCCAAACCCAACAAAAATACCACTGCATGTAAGAGGGAAGGGGGGCATGAAGCTAGTGTTCTAAAGGTCAATATTTGTTTCTTTTCCAGCAAAACGATAACCCCAAGAAAGACATGAATACTGAAATTAAAATAGCAAATATATAATCATTTAGCTTTGTGATTGAAGCCATCGGTTAACTTCCTTAAACTGTACAATGCATTACACATTCTATTACAAAAAATGTTTCTGCACCATAGTAATTTCCCACGGGTAGAGATGAAAACAGAAACAATGAAAACAGATACAAACAAATGCTATAATTATAAAGTGGTGCAGGTAAATTCTGGACCAAAACACTATTTAAACAAGATCAGATAACAGTATTCATGCAAACCTACAGGCTTATATCAAAAGACTTATCCTAAAAAAAAAACAAGAAAAGAATTTGTAATATCTATCCTACTTGTACTTGTCCTCCAGCAGCTGCTGAAATTGCAAAAGCAGTGGCCAAACCTAACTTTCTACATCTCTCAGTCTACCCCACTTCTTAAAGCACAAATAGGGGAAACAGTTCTTACAAAGAAAAAAAAATGATCCAAAGTGCTTTCCTGAAGTTAAAAAAATTTATTTGTTCATTATATACCACAATTCATTCTCAGGCCAATTTTTTAAATTATTTATCCTCCATAAAATATGGAAGGCTTTATTATTCTAGAATGTAACATTTTAAAGAAGGGCAGAGAACTGTTATCTTTTTAAAATAAATAAATTTATAATAAAATAAAACAAACGTTTCCAATTTTACCCATGCACAGTTGCAGAAGAGACAAACATGCTGTGTGCATTTTGATCTATGTTTTTAGGGAATATAATAAGTGACTGGAAAAATAAAGTAAAATCAAAGAGAACCGTCATGACTTTTTATATTTCTCTACATTCGGTTACCCTTGAATGCATTTTGAGCTGCACTGGTTGCTGCTGTTGATGCAGCGTTGGCTGCAGCAGTTTGTACAGTTTTGTTGGACATCACTCCCGTTGCAAACTCCTGCTGCGCTTTCTCAAAACTAGCACCAGTTGTGCGGTAGAGACCATGCACCTATGGAGGTGGAAAAGCAGTGAAAAAAATGTGCTGAGCCTTCCATTTCTTGGTAGAGTAATAGCAAAGTCTCAAACACGAAGCAGAACTGTATGGTGAAGAAATCTGGTTTGCTCATATGTTTGGGAGGATCCGGAAATGAGTAAACATTATTTTTTTTTTCCACAAATCCTACAACTTTTGATTGACCTGCTGTGCACGCACAGTTTGACTGTAGGGATACCTGTAACTTTTTACAAATTCAGAGGGATCTTGTACGTCTTCACTAAAATGTGTGTGGTATCTACTGCCTGAAATAACATTTAAATACACCAACAGACTGCATCCTTAGCATAATGCAGGACCCATAGCCTGCAGAAGCATCTTTGTCTTAATTTGTATACAACTTGGCGTACTCATTAAAAGAGTTCGTAAGTGTGCATGTTAAAAGAAACAGTAGGAAACAAAACCAAAAAAGTATTTTTGAATCTATGTGTCGATAACATTCTGGTTGACATGGTTACAAGAACCTATTAAGCTAAGTGATGACTGAACATTAAAAAGTATAAAATATCCCAATAATGCAGGTAAATATCCGCTAAACTAGTGTGATGTCCAATTGCTCTGCATAATAAGCAAAGGTATTAAATGACATGTCTTATAATCTCTAGTACAACAAAAACACAAATCCTGAGTAACTTCCATGTACCTGAGTATTAAAATTAAAATGCTATTTCTGATTCATATTCAATCAAGTCACGATAAAGTTGTCAATATTACGAAGCGTAATATTCAAGTGTAGCAGGAAAATTAATGTTGTAACATTTTTCTTTGTTATAAATGTGACCATTTCTCATCCATAAAGATACACCAGGTCATATCTGAGTATGCATGTTTTTTGAAAAGAGTTCAGATGCATGTAAAAAAAAAGTAAAAAAATGCTTCCCATACATTTTTCTTGTTTGTTCCTTTCTCCTGTACTTGAGTATTTATGCAGAAAACAAATAAGGAGAAGGGACATCTCCAGGCTATGCTTAAAATTTCTAGCTTACTGTAAATAGGCCAGAAAAGTTTGGGTATGTGAAAACTTTTAGAGCGTAACTGTAACTGAGGTTGAATTATTAGAATTGCCAGCACATCATCAGCAGAATTCTCAGTTGCAACATAAAAAACTTACTAGCACATTAATATCTAAACTTAGGCCTTCTGGATGGAAATTCACAAAAAGGAACTAAGGGAGAAAAGCATCTTTCTTTGAGCTTTTATGCTATGCAATCATTAATTGACAGCAAAATGTTAAAATAATATAAGCAGAGAAATAAAAATCATTTTCTGAGGTGCCAGGCATCTCCCTCTTCTATTGATTTTAATGGGAATGATTTTGATAAGAGCTGAATCTTAACAATCATTTGAATCGCGCTTCACTCAGCCTGATGAATCACCACAGATTTGAAAATTGCAACCTGGCATCTAGAGGTCATACCTTAGTGTCCAGTACATTCACCTACCCTTTCATTGTGCGCTTACCTCCCAACTTCTCTTATTCAAAGCTATCCTTCCCCATTTTAGTTTGCAGAAATAAGTGCACTGTAAAAACAGCATTTCATAACTCCATGACAGTATAAGCAAAAAAGTACTATAGAGACACAGTTGTTAAAAGGCACACCCCCAAGAATATCATTTAATCCCCATTACTTTGTGAGAGAGTACCTCTCAAGCAGGAAAGCAAAATCCAGATCAAACATAGGAAACAGAAGAGGGGAATAATAGGTTACTTACCTTTTTAAACATAACTAATGAGATAACAGCAGATGCTGTGAAAAGTGCAGCTATGATTATCATCATAATGCCAACAGGAATACTCTTATTAAGACCAGTAAGAGATGAAATCCACCCACTGAAGGAAAAAGAAAGGACAGACTTTACTAGCACAGCACATGAACCATTCAACCACAGGTATCCACATTAAGGGAAGCTTTATAACCTCCTGGTTCTGATCAACTGAATGTTTTTTTAAGAAAAAGTCATGAAAATTATACATGAGCATATTTCTGTTCTATAATAAGCTTTTACAGCTTAGTTGCCATTTTCCCAATGCATATAGTGAAACCATAAGGAAAATTTTAGCAACGATGATTATCCATGAGGAGAGCTATGAAGAAATTGAGAGACATTAGAGTTGTTCATCAACTTTTGGGGTTTTTTTGGTCATACTGACATTTCAGAATAATTTAAGACTACATGACTTCGTGGAAGAGAATATGTCCCTAAAAAGATAGCTTCTAACTTCTTCAAAAATAAAACAAAAACATGACACACACACACAGAGCTTCTATGTGGGAAAACTCATTTACGTGTATCCACACAGTGATGCTTTCTCAATTGGGGTTAATTTTTTTTTTCTTAAGTAGATAGCGTCATATTAATTAAAAGATTGCTGTATCAGTATTTGAATATTTTCCCATTCTTCAAAATTGAAGCACCAACATAAAAGTACAATATCAAACTTGAAGCCATAAAAAGCAGGTTGCCTTAAGAAAAATAAAACATTAAGATGGAAAAGATTCTTCCACTGAAAAGAACAAAAAAATTCTGTCAACCCAAACAACCTTGAAACTTTCCTCTACTTGTTTCAAATCGCTTTGATATCCCCTATGTCTAACTGGACTCTACCACAGAACTCCAAAATCAAAACTGTAATTAACATTTTCTGATGATCTGGCTTCCCCAGGTATCCTTAAAAGCACACTTCACATACTTGGAGAGTTGGCCCTCTAAAATTACTTTTTTACTTTGTTCACGTCAATCAAGGTATCTATGAAAAAGCAAAATATTGGATTTGAGAGCAAAAATAATAAACCAGGATTTTTCCTTACACTCCAGTTCTAAAGCAATGATGTTTTGTCTGCCTTACATACATTTGGAGGTTAGCAGAAAAACACTGATATAGAGAAATGTCATTACCCAGGTACACTATCGCCAGTCATAGCACTCTGTGCTATCAGCTGGCTACTACAACCATGCTTTTTGTTAATCCAAGTTTATTGTGTTTTTTTTTTTTTCCAAGGGTGACTGATTCCCAATAGCTTTTCCTTGTAAAATCTAAATATTAGACCTTGAAGCTTCAAATAAAAGCTATATATACATAAAAGCTTCAAGTAAAAGCTCATATACTTTTAAGCATCAAAATGAAAAATCAACTATTACAGAATAAGGAGCTGACTCGGACAAATGAGCTTTTCAAATAATATCAAAGATATACCACTATATTCACTCAAATACAATGTTGACTCATTCTTCAAATTTTAGCCATAAATTTAATTAGTAAGTATATTAATATAGAGATAACTAATGATACAAAATAATATTCAAACAGCATATTATTACAGCATAAATTAATCTAATTTTCTTTAAGTTTTGCTTATTTCTTTATCCTAAATATAGAGCAAATAGCATCTACACACACCACTAAAATAGGGGAGGTAATGTATAAAAGAGTAGTTCAAAGTGGCTTACGTTGAAAGATAAAATTTTGACCAGCCTAATAACAGAAGTACCTCACACTCTTGGGATATGTTTCACTCACTTTTCCTAGTTAAGAGCACTCTAAAAATGCTTTTTTGAGTGTTAAGTGTAACAATTCCAGTTACACAAGATTTTTTTTTAAAAAACACAGACTATTGCAGTTGCTATATCAAATATGAGAGTTTGTTAGACAGTACAATGCTACAGAAAACAGAATACTCACCAGTTTCCCCATCTTTGAAATCCTGCAGCTTGAAGTACATGTACAGCAAACTGACAGATATATACAAAGAAGAACACAAAGAACCTGAATGAACTGTCACTCCTGAAAGAGGGGGGGGGGAAAATTAAAGCAGCCAGGAAATTTATGACTTTTTACAAATACTGTAGTGCCAAACTAAATATTTTTCTGTATTAACTAGACTTGAAATACCAGTAATTCTGTGGTTTTGCAGAGTGTTTATCTACAAGAGTTGCTGCTTTTTCTTTAATATAGTATTTTTGCCACTTGCACCTCTAACAGAGGTGAGAATAGCAGCAAGATGCTATTCCTTAGCGTTCTGTTCAGCACACAACAGGGCCTCTTAGACTAAACATACAACTTTTGCTACAATGCATGAAGAACAGAAGTCTGCTCTACTTTCAGACTGAAGTTCATAGTGCTGGCAGGATAGGAAGAAAATATTTTACTTGTAATCTACATCTAATATGAAATTACTGATAATGCAGATAAGAATACTGAAGCAGCTGTTGTTTAAAAACAAAATATACAAAATATGTTTGCTGTTTAAATTACTAAAATGTCAGCCTGACAAAGACTGAAAGTGTTAAAAGCCTGTCAAAAAAACCAAATATAAACGTACAGGCAAAATCTCAACAAAGACCTCAACGCATTACTATCAAAACTAACGATTGCATGATATGCTTCCTACCAAATGTCTAAAGGAAGTAAAAATCACTTAAGACACGGAACCAGATTTTTGCCAGTAATACCTCTGTTCCAGTGTTTGACCACCCTCTTGGTAAAGAAATGCTTCCTAATGTCAACTCTGAACCTCCCTTGATGCAGCTCTGAACAATTCCCACACATCCTGTCGCTGGATACCAGGGAGAAGAGATCAGCACCTCCCTCTCCCCTTCCTCAGGAAGCTGCAGAGAGCAATAAGGTCTCTCCTCAGCCTCCTTTTCTCCAAATTAGACAAACCCAGAGTCTTCAGCCACTCCTCATAGGACTTGCCTTCCAGCCCTTTCACCAGCTTTGTTGCCCTCCTCTGGGACACATTCAAGGACCTTAACATCCTTCTTAAATTGTAGGGCCCAGAACTGCATACAACACTCAAGGTGAGGCTGTACCAATGCTGAATACATCAGGATAATCACCTCTCTTGACCGGCTGGCTGTACTGTGTTTGATGCACCCCAGGATGCGGTTTGCCCTCTTGGCTACCAGGGCACACTGCTGACTCATATTGAGCCTGCTGTCAACCAGCACCCCCAGATCCCTTTCTGCAGGGCTGCTCTCCAGCCACTCCTCTCCCAATTTATACTTGTGCCTGGCATTACTCGGTCCCAGGTGCAGGATCTGGCACTTTGATTTGTTAAATTTCGTGCCACTGATGATTGCCCAATGCTCCAATCTATTTAGATTCCTCTGCAATGCCTCTTGTCCCTCAAAGAGTGTCAACGGCATGTCACAGTTTAGTATCATCAGCAAACTTACTAATGGTGCATTCAACTCCTGCATCCAGATCATTGATAAAAATATTGAACAGAACTGGCCCTAGAATTGAGCCCTGAGGAACACCGCGCTGGTGAATGGTCGCCAGCCAGATGTAGCCCCGTTCACTACAACCCTTTGAGCCCTGCCCTTCAGCCAGTTCTTCACCCAGCTGCACCGTGTACCTGCTCATCTCACAGTTGGACAACTTGTCCAGAAGGATGCTGTGAGGGACAGTATCAAAAGCCTTACTAAAATTAAAAAAACCTGCATCCACCACCTTCCCTTCACCCACTAGGCAGGTGACCTTATCATAGAAGGACATCAAATTAGTTAAACAGGACTTTCCCTTTGTGAACCCATGATGACTGTGCCTGATGATTGCATTGTTCTTTAAATGTCTTTCAATAGTGCCCAGTATGATCTTCTCCATAATTTTTCCAGGTACTGAGATTAGACTAACAGGTCTCTACTTCCCTGGGTCTTCCCTCATGTCCTTCTTGTAAATTGGAATAACCTTGGCTAGCTTCCAGTCAGCAGGGACCTCCCCAGACTCCCAAGACCTTTGGCAGACGATCAAGAGGAGTACTGCAGTAATAGGCGCTAACTCCTTCAGTACTCTGGGATGAATCCCATCAGGCCCCATGGACTTGTGAACATTCAGCTGATACAGCTGGTCCCTTACAATTTCAGTGCCACAAATGGAAAGTCACTGTTCCTGCAGTCATGCAGGACTCAGAGGACCGGGCAGCCCAAGCTCTATCAGTATTATTAAAGACTGAGAAAAAAAAGCATTGAATGCCTCCGCTTTTTCTTCATCCCTATTAGCCAGGTGACCATCTTCAGCAAGTATTGGTCCAATGTTGTCTTTAGGCTTCCTTTTGCTATTAAAATACTTTTTAAAGCCCCTCTTGTCTGACACGACACTGGCCAGTTTCAATTCTAGTTCAGCTTTGGCCTTTCATGTTTTCTCCCTGCATATGCAGACCACAGCTCTGTAATCTTCCTGCAAAGCCTGACCTTGCTTCCAGAGATCGTACAATTTCTTTTTCCTCTCAAGTTCCATGAGGAGTTCCCTGTTCAGCCAAGCTGGTCTTCTGCCCTGCTTGCTTGACTTGTGACACAATGAGATTGCTTGCTCCTGTGCTTTTAAAAGGCGGTTCTTAAAGACTGAACAGCACTCATGGACTCCTAAGCCCTCAAAAGCAGATTCCCAGGGTACTCTGCTAAGTAGCTCCCAGAATACCTGAAAGTTTGCTCTCCTGAAGTCCAGGGTAGCAACTCTGCTGTCCTTTTTTCTCATTACACTGAAATTTTTAAACTTGATTATTTTGTGATCACTGTGGCCAAGACAGCCACCTACCATCACATCTCCCACAAATCCTTCTCTATTCACAAACAAGTCCAGGAGGGCATCTTTCCTAGTTGGCTCCCTGAGTACTTGTGTCAAGAAGTTATCTTCCACAAACTTCAGTAATTTCCAAGACCTGCTTGTCACAGCAGTATGATATTCCCACTTGATGTGTAAGAAGTTGAAATCTCCCATAAGGTCAAGGGCTACCGATTCTGAAACTTCTCCTAATTGCCTAGAGAATAACTCATCAGTCCTTACATCCTGGCTGGGTGATCAGTAGTAGACACCCACTATGACATCTCCTTTGTTTTCTATCCCCCTAATCCTCCCCCAGAGGCTCTCAACCACATCATCACTAACTATAAGGGCTGTACAATCAAACCTCTACCTTACATCTGGTGCAACTCATCCACCTCACCTGCCCTGCCTATCCATCCTGAATAGCCTGTAGCCCTCCATCCCAGCACTCTGGTCATGGGAGTCATTCCACCAAGTCTCACTAATACCAATGATATCATAGCTCTGGGAACTGATCAGTGCTTCCAGTTAATCCTGCTTGTTTCTCATACCGCGTGCGTTGGTGTGCATTTCAGATGTGCTCCTGAACCTTCCATGCTCCCAGGAGCAAATATTTTTTAAATATTTTAAAGGATATTCTATGATATTCCTAACTGTTGCCATCATCATTTCAGATAAAGCAACTGATTTAATGGCAAACATTCTACTTGTTTCTAATGAAATCATATTAAAGGATTATCATGATAAACAAGCAAATTCTGGAATGTTAATGCATTTCAACAAGTGTAGCATTTTTTAAAAATATCTTAAGTCAAACCAAAGTTCTTACCTGAAAGCTCCATAAAGTGGTCTGTACCAGCAGACAAAAGAACAAGGGGTAAAAAGCAAGAACCAGAGGATACTCAATCCAAAATCACCCCCTCGTGTAGCGTCAATGTAAAACCAAGCCAAACATCCAAAGATATTAAGAAACAGTGTCACTGTATGGACTGTAGAAGCAAAAGCAAAAAAGTCTTAATTAAATTATTATTCATATAATAAATTATTACAACTGTTAAAGGAACTTTCTAGCAGCATGGTGGCTTCCAGGTCCTCCCATTTGTTGCAGATGCTGCGTGCATTGGTGTAGAGGCACTTCAGCTGGGCTGTTGGATGTGTCAGCTTCTTAGAGGAACATCCCTTAATTCTTTTGAGGTATTTCACCGATGTTTCTCTGTTGGCTCCTATTACATCAGGACCCTTGTCTCATCTCTGTAAGACTTCAAGCGTGCTGCAGTGTACCCAGCAAGTCTCAGAGCAACAGGCTGAGATTCCTCACTAGCACCCCGTCCCTCAAACCTTGGCGTGTCATCCCACAGCTTGTCATGGGCGCGCCTGATATTACCCCCCTCCCCCTTCAAGTCTAGTTTAAAGCTCTGTCAATCAGCCCCACTACCTCATGAGCAAAGACTCACTTCCCCCTTTGAGAAAGATGAATCTCATCTGATGACAGCAGACCTGGTGCCATTCCATTATCAAAAAACCCAAAATTCTGGCAGTGACCCCAGCCATGAAGCGATGTATCAATAGACTGGGTCCATCTGTTTCTTCCAATATTGCTGCCCCCAACTGGAAGGAGAGAGGAAAAAAATTACCGGTTCCATCCCAAGGCCCTGAAGTCTCTTTTGAATGCCCTTGGACTACGCATTGAGGCTTCATCACCACCCACATGGAAGAGCAATAACAGATAACCACCCCGATATCTGTTGGAGGGGCAACACAGCGGGGCACAAGCAACCCAGGAAGTTCCTGGAATGCGTCAATGACAACTTCCTTCTCCAAGTGGTAGAGGAGCCAAAGAGGACAGAAGCTATGCTAGACCTTGTCCTTACCAACAAGGAGGGGTTAGCGGGGAATGTCAAGCTCAAGGGCAGCCTTGGCTGCAGTGATCATGAAATGGTAGAGTTCAAGATCGTTAGGGCAGCGAGGAGGGCTTGCAGCAAGCTCACAACCCTGGACTTCAGGAGAGCAGACTTTGGCCTCCTGAGGGATCTGCTTGGTAGGGTTCCAAGCACTGAAGGAGAGAGGGGCCCAAGGAAGCTGGTTAGTATTCACGGATCACCTCCTCCAAGCTCAGGAGCAATGTATCCCAACAAAGAAGTCAGGCGAAAAAGCCTGGAAGCCTGCACGGATAAACAAGGAGCTCCTGGACGATCTCAAACAGAAAAGGAAGCCTGCAGAGGGTGGAAGCAAGGACAAGTAGCCTGGGTGGAATACAGAGAAACTGTCTGAGCAGCCAGGGATCAGGTTAGAAAAGCTAAAGCCCTGATAGAATTAAATCTGGCCAGGGACATCAGGGGCAACAAGAAAAACTTCTATAAGTATGTCAGTGATAAAAGGAAGACTAGGGAAAATGTGGGCCGTCTCTGGAAGGAAACAGGAGACCTGGTCATCCGGGACATGGACAAGGCTGAGGTACTCAATGACTTTTTTGCCTCAGTCTTCAATGGCAAGGGCTCTAACCACACCACCCAAGTCGCAGAAGGCAACATCAGGGGCTGTGAGAATGAAGAACTGCCCACTGTAGGTGAAGATCAAGTATGAGACCACCAGAGGAACCAGAAGGTACACAAGTCCATGGGACCTAATGAAATCCATCCGTGAGTCCTGAGAGGACTGGCAGATGAAGTTGCCAAGACACTACCCATCATATTTGAGAAGTCGTGGCAGGGCAGGGGAAGAACAGGAAAAGGGGAAACATAACCCCCATTTTCAAAAAGGGGAAAAAGGAAGACCTGGGGAACTACAGACCAGTTAGTCTCACCTCTGTGCCTGGCAAGAGCACAGAGTAGTTCCTCCTGGAAACTCTGCTGAGGCACATGGAAAATAAGGAGGTGATTGGTGACAGCCAGCATGGCTTCATCAAGGGCAAGTCATGCCTGACAAATTTGGTGCCCTTTTACGATGAGGATACAGCATTGGTGGATAAGAGAACAGGAATAGATGACATCTACCTGGACTTAAATGCAAAGCGTTTAACACTGTTCCACACGACATCCTGGTCTCTAAATTAGAGAGACATGGATTCAGCAGATGGACCACTCGGTGGACAAGGAACTTGCTGGATGGTCACACTCAAAGAGTTGCGGTCAACGGCTTGATGTCCAAATGGAAACCAGTGACAAGTGGCATTCCTCAGGGGTTGATATTGGGAACAATGCTGCTTAACATCTTTGTCAGCGACATGGACAGTGGGACTGAGTACACCCTCAGCAAGTTTGCCAACAACACCAAGCTGTGTGGCACGGTCAACACACTGGAGGGAAGGAATGCCATCCAGAGGAACCTGGACAGGCTTGACAGGTGGGCCCGTGCAAACCTCATGAAGTTCAACAAGGCCAAGTGCAAGGTCCTGCACATGGGTCAGGGCAATCCCAAAGACAAATACAGGCTGGGCGGAGAATGGATTGAGAACAGCCCTGAGGAGAAGGACTTGGGGGTGTTGGTGGATGAGAAGCTCAACATGAACTGGCAATGTGCACTTGCAGCCCAGAAGACCAACTGTATTCTGGGCTGCATCAGAAGAAGCCTGGCCAGCAGGTCGAGGGAGGTGATTCTGCCCCTCTACTCCACTCTCGTGAGACCCCACCTGGAGTACTGCATCCAGCTCTGGAGTCCTCAACACAAGAAGGACATGGACCTGCTGGAGAGGATCCAGAGGAGGGCCACGAAGATGATCAGAGGGCTGGAGCACCTCTTCTACGAAGACAGGCTGAGAGAGTTGGGCTTGTTCAGCCTGGAGAAGAGAAGGAGCCAGGGAGACCTTATAGCAGCCTTCCAGTATCTGAAGGGGGTCTACAAGAAAGCTGGAGAGGGACTTTTTACAAGGGCATGTAGCGATAGGATGAGGGGTAATGGCTTCAAACTGCAAGAGGGTAAATTTAGATGAGATAACAGGAAGAAATTTTTCACTTTGAGGGTAGTGAGGCACTGGAACAGGTTGCCCAGAGAAGTTGCATGCCCTGGAAGTGTTCAAGACCAGGCAGGATGGGGTTTTGAGCAACCTGGTCTATTGGGAGGTATCCCTGCCCATGTTGGGGGGTTGGAACTAGATGATCTTCAAGGTCCCTTCCAACCTAAACCATTCTATGATAACCGTCTGAGGGCTGTACCAGGCTAGGAAGTTTTCTAGTGATGTCCTTAACCTGTGCCCCAGGGAGGCAGCAGACTTCCCTAAGAGGAGGGAACCCTCAGAAGGGAGTCACCTGTAACTATAACCCATCTTTTCTTCCTCGTGGAGGTGGTTGTGATACAGGGGGTAGGTCTTTCTGACCTTGGTGACACCTCTGGTGAAGATGGACCATCATCCACATCATCAGTTGACTGACCTTCCAGATCCAGAGCCTCATACCTGTTGTACAGAGGCAACTGGGAAGGCCAGGTAGGCAGGGAGGGGGTTTGCTTGCGTCCATTCCTTCAAGTTTCTTCAAGTTTCTGCCTGGTGGGGGGAGGATACAGGATCCCCTTGATCTTTTTTTTTTTTCTGGTTCTGGTTCGTTTCTAGCTCAGGGAGGGCAGACCATGGTTCCACCAGTCTCTCTCAGATTCCCTGATGCTCCTTAATCTTTCTACTTCCTCTCATAGCTCTGCCACCAGGTGTATTTGGTCACCTCACACAGGTATTCTCACTACTGCCATCTGTTACCAGTGAAAGGCTCTGGCAGTTCCTGCAGCCTGAGACCTGGGTTGCTTCATCAGTTTTGGTGAGCGCAGAGGACATAACTATGGTATCCACCTGGCAGAAAGCTAAGTTCCTTGTTTGAGGGTGATGACTAGTGACTGAACCGACCTTTTCAGCTGGTAGGGTGATGACGCCCTTCCACACAAACTGCTGCATCATACTCTGGTCACTAGCGCTCCCTAGGCTGCTTTTTATAGGTGTGGGGGTGGCTGCAGTTGCTCTGGCAATGCCCAGGCCTCATCAGCATCTCTCACGAGAGCTGCCAGCACCTGGTGGGTTACTCCACTGCCCTGGTGTTTCTCTGCGTCAGGAAACCCCCCCTGTACACCAAGATCTGCCTCGGCTCTGGAGCAGCTCGCCTCACATTTGACTGTAAAAAAACTGGCAAGATAATAAAGATTCTGAAAAAAGACTCTTTGAGGATCTTTGCTTTCCCCTTAACTAATACTTAAATAAGCCCTAAATCAAATTAGTGGGAAAAAAATCTTCAAGAAAAATGTCCGCATCAATGCATAAAGGGCTAAAGAAACTCAAAACACATTTCCCTCAGACAAATCATATTTTCCTCCAAGAGTCACCAGAAACAGAAAGCTTCATACTTTTAAATAAAGAGCATTTAATGCATCTACATATCTGTTCTGGTTTGAGGTAGAACAAAACCAATTTTCTGTTCAGTAATTCTACTTTTCAGTTAAGTCTCTTCTAACTGACTGTACTCTCTGAAATTAAAGGTATAGTTTTTCAGACAGTGTCTGTTTCCAGCAGAAATAATGCCTGATGTTTATAGTTACTACTGAGGAATGGTATGCAGACAGGCTCTTGCTTATACTTCATAGAATCATAGAATGGTTTAGGTTGGAAGGGACCCTGAAGATCATCAAATTCCAACCCCCC